AAGAAAAAAGATCTGTAATCACCAAATTTATTACATTAACTAAAACAAAAGCAAAAACACCTCCAATAAGTAAAACACCTGATGAATACAATTTTGCCTCTATTATGAAAAGAGTAAGTGAACAACATACCTCTCAACATAAAGAACCTTCTATTTCAGATTTAAAACAAGAAATCAAAGAAGTCAAAAGAGAAGTACATCAATTAAAAAATAGAACTAAGACTTTAGACTTACAAAATCTATCTCAACAAGAGTCAGATACAGATGAACTAGAATTCGATCAGCTTATTACAACATATAGTCCTGATCCACCAGAAGATATACCAGAAACTTCTGAAGTCAAACATCATCTGGTAACAATTTCCTCTGTCAGTTTGATAGATAAAATTATGATTCAAAAATGGTTTGTTCAAGTCACTATAATCGTCGCAAAAGATTATCAGTTCCAAACCTCAGCCCTAATATACTCAGGTGCTGACTTTAATTGCATCAATAAAGGATTAGTACCATCAAAATATCTTGACAAAACAACTCAAATCCTAAATACTGCAGATGGTAGTAGACTCGTTATAAATTATAAATTATCCAATGCTTCTGTCTGTAATAATCACCAATGTATTAATACACCATTTATTATGGTCAAAGGACTAAGCCAAGCAGTTATACTTGGAGTCCTATTTCTTACACTTCTATATCCTTTATCAATAGATCAAACAGGAATATATATATATATATATAAAGTTTAAATAAGGTTGCAACCTTAAAATGTAGAACTATGGATGCACTTCAAAATTAGTTGTTTTAATGTGGTAAAACCTTCTAATTGAGCATCTCAACATCGAGATGTATGATTATGAAAGAAAGATGGATTTTGACGCCTAGAAATAGTGCATCTTACATCATATTATCTAGACCGTCCTTTTCAACAGTGTAATATGTTTTTAGATCTACTTGATTTTAACCAGTTTTGGAGTTTAAAATTTTATAATTAAATAATATAAAAATACATTTTGAGATAATCCTAAGAATATTTTGCATCAAAAGTATATATTATGATCAAATTTGAAGGTGCGTCTTAATTGGATTGTTTAAGGTTGTAACCTTATATACATATATATGGGGTTATGGTAGGATGCTCACACTATAACGTATTTTATAATAATACTCGACAAAGTTTTTATACTTATATCTCTTGTTTTGTACATGAAGTATTTTTTAAGCAATGATAGTTTTGGTCATTAGGAGGGGTGTGATGCTATCCACATGATATGTGACATCACCCATATGAAATACACTAGTGGTATTAATTTTGGACACTTATATACTCTTATTTTGTACATGAAGTATTTTTTTATCAAGAGTATTTTTTGTCATTAGGAAATGTGTGATGACATCCACATGGGGTGTGACATCACCCGTATGAAGTACACTATTGGCATTTAATACTTCATATGAGTGATGTCACACCCCATGTGGATGACATCACACACCTCCTAATGACCAAAAATGCTATTGACAAAAAATAACCCATATACAAACAATGGTGTATAAGTGTTCAAAATTTATTTAGCATAATTATAAAAATGCTATATAATATGAACACCCTAATATAATGAAGCCACTACGTAACCCCTATATGTGACAATGGACAATGTTTTCACCTATAGGCTCAACGCTGTCCGATTTTTTTGGATGGCGTGGATTAAAAGACTGCAATGGACCTACTATTTCCGTTGCATGTCAAAAAACATGTGGAAATCGCCACAGACCACGCGCCGTCTGTTGCGGCTTCGTTCAATAAACCGCCATGGACATAGCATATCCGCGGCGAAGCAAAACACTCATCTAAATCGCCTATGAATGTTTTAAGAGTTATTCCCAACGCTTATAGGCAAAAATGAACAATGATTCGCCTACCCTCATCACCGTCCAAAGTTCAACGTACGGTCTGATTGTTTGGTAGTGTTTCATTTTTCATTTTTTCATTTTTTTTTACAAATTGAAATGATCTAAAATTTAAAGCGTGTGTAAATCTTAGTGAGGCTCACCTAATAAAAATATGAAAAAAAATAATTCGTGAAAATAATTTGACCAAATAGCCCTGAAAATTTTTAGGGGCATTTTGGTCAATTATTTTCATGTAAAATATATTTTTTATATTTTTTCTAAATTCTAATATTTTTAATGAACACATGCTCCAAATTTCAAGCTATTCCGATTTGTAAAAAAAAAAAAAAAAAAGAATACTACCAAACAGTCGTGACCATGCAATAAATTTTGGACGGTGATGAGGATAGGCGAAATCACTGTTTATTTTTGCCTATATATATATATATATATATTCAAATTATAAAGGTTCAAGATATAGAGAGTTGAAGGGTGGATTTATTAATTTTGTTGTCTATGTTTTTTAAAAAATGTTATATTTTTGGGACAAATTTGTAAATATTACTGCGTCACAAAAGGTATTTTTGTTATTTCCATAAGAGGTAAAGTTGAAATTTTAACTAAAGGACAATGACGCTCCCCAAATACTTCCAAATTTGAGCTCTAAACAATCAAATTTATATAGAGTCAAGGCTCTAAACGATCAAATTTGAGCTTATCTAAAAAATTTCACTAGAAGAGGTTGTTTTGATGCCCAAATATCTCAAATCAATCATCAAGATGCATGGACATGAAAAAAAATGAATTTCAAGTTTTTAAAATAATATATTTTATAATACATTTTAGACCGTTAATTTTCAATATTTTCAAGTTTTCATAAATATGTCAATCTACATTATTTTAAAAATTTAAATTTTATAAATAAATATAAAAATATATTTTAAGACTATCACAAAGATTTCTAATATTAAAACCATATTTCTCAACACTATTTGAAAGTAGGCTCAAATTTAGAGTTTCCATTATACATACGGTTGTCTAATATTAAAACCATATTTCTCAACAGTATTTGAAAGTAGGCTCAAATTTAGAGTTTCCATTATACATACGGTTGATTGCATGTTGACCTGACGAATATGATCCTCGATAGACCAAATCGGGGTTGGACCGTCCCGGCCTGGAAAGCTCTAAACGCTTTCCTGGTCCATTCGTAGGTCAATCCGAACCAACCCGAGCGGACTGCCACCCCTCCATCCCGACGTCGTTTCGGCGAAGATGGGGCGCTCAGGTCTTTTAATGACTAAGATGGGGGCATATCTGGTCCTATTCCCGTCAATTCAGAACAAGAAGGGTTATTAAACACGTATGAGGTTCCCACAAATATCTCTTCACCACCACCACCACCACCACCACCACCACTTCAGGGCTTTGTTTGTACTGATTAGTCCTCCCGTCGCTCATGAACACCAAAAAAATTCATGAGGTATTATCAACCAGAACCAAAAAATCCCCTCCTATTTTCTTTTTCCCTCTCTGAACTCATCTTCCCATCTATTTGAACAAATGCTGAAGAAGATTACCATGGTTGTTGCTGCATTTCTGGTCCTTGATTCTCATGGCTGGGGCTTAACAGAAAGGTACTGGTTCTCTTCTTTCAAATTAATTTCTCGTTATTTGATGTGTCATCTTCTATTTTAAGGTAGAAATGGCCACAGTTTAGTTTGTTGTGGCGAAATGTTGGAATTTCTTAGTGTTCAGTGTTTTCCTTTGACAATTTTTTGAAAGCTAATTTATGTGGCTCTTACTCTTCGGATCCTATTTTAAGTCACCCATGGGGTTGTGCTTATAAAACGGTTATGGGTGAATATGCTTTTCTTGTAACTGTAAATTGAAAATTTTGAGTTATTTCTTGAGTACCTAATTATTACTGTTTTCTTAGAAATATGAAATTATTTCCCCAATTCTCTGTGACGTTGCGATTTTAATCACTTGATGAAACAACTGAGAGATGAGGAATTCAAATGCTGAAGAGGCAACTGGTTGTTGGTTGGCTTGTTTCATGGTTGAACCCAATAATGCAGTTAAGTTTGGGTCTAATCTGATTTTGCACACAGTTTTTTCTTTATATGTGACTATTTTTTTAAACTTTTGTTCGACGTGCTTCTTACGCTTGGGTTAGAAGCAGTTGAACCAAAGTTTAAGAAAATCGTGTTTTATAAACAGAACTTTCGATCATAGAGCAGAATGGTGGATTGGGATTCATGTACCGACACCAATTAGTTGGGAAAAGGCTTTGAAGATGATGGTGATGATGCTTATGCTTGTGTTACTCTTTCATGAATATGGTTATTTACTACCCGGGCTTGTTTCCCCCACAAAATCGAATTGATTTTTATCTCCTTCTTTGAATAGTGTCTTCTTGGAACCTATGGAAAAGGATACATTTGAGATATCAATGAGTATTCTATGAACTTTATGAAGGTTCAATTATGCCCACTTATTAATTTTATGAGTGGGGATTGCTGTTTTTCGTATATCTACATCTGCACCGTGCTTTACTTTTCATCCAAAGCAAGAGCTGGTTATAGCAAAAACACTAACTGCCTAGAATTTCCATACATGTTTGTTGGTGCAGATAGCTAAAACATAGGTGCAAATAGCAATCACTTTCTGAATTTGTCTGGCAATCGTATATATATATATATATCTCCCCAAATGATTCATTTGTGGTTTTATCTGGGATCTCAAAATTGATTCGAAAAGGGGTTTGCTCAAGAAAACCAATTCAAATTAACACAAATATATTATAACTCTGGACTCCCTGCCATCTGTTTTTTTGAATTTCCAGTTTAATATTTCTCATTTGCTGTAGTTGCTGGGAAGTGTAATTTCTGATAATGTCGAATGTAATTCATCCAATAATCTTACATCCTCTCCAATGGTTTTATTAAAAAAATATTCTAGTTCCTAGCCTTTTCGACTCACAACTATTTTCAATAGTGCAAAAGACCACCACACCCAAGTCATATTGCATATTTTTTCACTAGCTGTAACCTCCCTTGTTCCGGAGCCCTAGGCATTCTGTCTCCTATTCATCCACTCCATTTATTATAGAAATGGCTCAAGAACCTAATGCTTCATAATACAAAGATATTTCTTGAGAAGACTTCACAATTTTGTGAAGTTGACTATTTCCTCTATTCAGAGAAGTTCTTGTGTCTTTCAAAGTGACACTGAAAGAAATACACAAGATTTTTGTGTGGAAGATTGGACCTCTAAATTTCACATACCATCATTAATTTCTTGTTTTGCTCCCTCTTTAGTTTTCATAAATCCAATGCCTTGAGGTTTATTCTTCCTTCTTCTAAATACAAACGAAGAATTAATTATCAGTTCTATGTCACCATTTTGAGCAATACGGGTCCCAACAATTAAAGTTTTATACCTTTTAACCCACTGCTTAATTAGCTTCAGTATGAGACCTATGATGAATACACTAATCTATTGGTTGCAAAACTCATAATTCTGTTTTCACAAAGCTGGTGAATTTTTGTAGTTTGCCCATCCACACGATCCTGTGAGTCCCATATTGATCCCATGGAAGGGCCAGGCGAGGTTAATGAAACAGTGAGAAAAGCTGCTGAAGCTGCTCCAAACTCTAAGAGAAAACTAACCAATCATTCCATTCAAGAAGATAACTGTAATCCTTTAGAACCAACTGCAGTTTTTATTGCCCCTGGAAATGATTGGCCTGAATCACTTTCTCTCTCAAGGTCAGATGCAGGCCATAGAGCACCAGTTTGTTTGCCTGGCTTCCCCAATGTCTTCTCAGAGGTTTTGGATGAAAAGACAATCAATTCAACGACATCCAAGCCTCCTGTTGCTTTCATAAATCCCTTGACTGGTGGGTCAGGATCGCCATGTGTCAGCCCATGTTCCATGAATGATGATGGTGCAACTGTTGAAGAGCTGACTCTTACAAACTACAAGGGTTCCCAACTTGGGCCTTTACATAGTAGGAAAGTTGGTCAATGGGAAAATCTCTACTTGATTGCTGGTGGTTTGGGGAAGGACAATTCATGTAAGGTGGGGCCTCCTGCTGTAAACAACTCAATGGAACAGAACACAAATGGAGGGAAAGATCTAAGAAAGAGTACTATTTCACCTGAGTTTGGGGTTCATGAGTCTCTAATGACCCAAAACTACCAAAAGCAAGATCATATTAATACTGCAGGCATTTCGGTCAGCAATGAAATGTGCTCAACTTCGAGCGACATGTCAGGGGTAAGATTACCAGGATGCGAGATTAGGACCAAAATGCTCTCTTCATCTGGGTTTGCTCGTTTTCTTGTGAAGAATTCATTGAAGGAAAAAGGGATTTCTTATAGACATTTTGAATCAAGGAATGGAACACATAATATGAATGGGGGAAAACCTAATTCAAGAAATGATGCCAATGCCATCAAAATCAATTCGGATACATCTCACAGTTTTGCCTCGGAAGCTGATAGATTCTCTAAACACAGTGATTCTGGAGTTGAAGTTGATATTCCCTCTCCTAATAATGATGACCATAATAGCATCAGTTTGAGAGAACGGCTCAAGCCAGGCCAACGCAAGATGAACAAGCTTGAGAGCTTGCATGTGTTTCAACAAATACTGGTGATGGTGGATGCGGCTCATTCCAGAGGAGTTGTGCTACGAGATTTACGACCCTCTTTTTTCATGGTCTCATCATTGAATCGGGTCAACTATGTGGGTTCTTATGTACCCCAAGTTCCTATGGAGTTTTCAAAACATGTGGACCATGATAATTCCCATTTGGATCCCTATACTAGAAAGAAAAAGCAAAGACAGTCTCCTCCTACTGCTCATCATGGTCATGAGTTAGGGTACCAAGGTTCCTTGGATACTAAGAGCATACATGATTACAATGGTTCTTCTGTGAAACATCAGAAGCTCAGTGAGCACATCAAAAGCATCAGGCAAATAGCCATCAATAGGTTTAAAGCTCAGAATTCTGGGTGCGATTTCAGGGAAGAACACAAAGTTTCTGAAGAATACAAAATTCATAAAGGAATTGATATCTCATGTGGGTCTAACAGAGATCACCAGGACTTGGACAAGGAAAGGTTGCTTCTGGAGGAAAGGTGGTACTCAAGCCCAGAGGAGTTGTATGAGAGAACATTTACATTCTCATCAGACATCTACCGTTTGGGTGTTCTTCTATTTGAGGTAAGCTTATCTTATTTTGGACTGGTATTCCTTGGATTGCTTAAAAGATATTCTGGATAAGACATCAAGAAATGTACAGACACTATATTTCAAAATGCATCATGGAAAATGAATGCTAGGCTTTGGTGTTATGACCAGTTTAGCATACTTTGGTAAATTCCCATAGGCGTAATTGGAACTCATTCATTTGGTGCTGTTTATGCAGTGCTCTGTAATTCCAATAGTTTTTGTTCACATATTGCCATTTTTTTTTTTTTTTAATGTAAATGTTCTTATGGATATTTTCTGACTTGTACGTTAGAATTTAGGCAATTTTGGGCATCCAATAAGTGTAGTTTTGTTTACTGTAATTCGAGAACTGAAGCTAAACTGGGTATTCTTGTCGAGTTTAGTGCCATTTTGTGGTGTTTGGTGCCGGTTTCCAAATAAATGGGCCCCAGAGTTGGAATATACCAAATTTGTTGCAAATTAGTTCCAGGCCTAGTATATTAGAAAGTACCCTTCCTCTTGATTAGTAGTCCAATCAAATACCCCTTCGAGTGTGACTATAAACACTAACAACAAATAGATATGTGAGTAATAGAGGTGCATTAGTACACCTATCATAAGAAAAATACACTGGCTTTGTTAATCTTCTATGTAATAGTATTATAACAATTTATTAACATTGAGTGTTTTCTATCAGCTTTTTTCCTTGTTTGAGTCATGGGAAGCTCTTGTAGCAGCAATGTCAGATCTGCGACACCGAATTCTCCCTCCTAGTTTTCTATCAGAAAATCTCAAGGAGGCGGGTTTTTGTCTCTGGCTGCTTCACCCAGAGCCATGTTCACGTCCAAGGGCAAGGTAATTTTGATCCTCTTTATGGCTTGAGTATGTTAATTTAATCATATAATTAGTGGAAATTATTGTAGGAGCTACGTGCAATTTTAACCTAATAAGTTTGCGAGTAATATTGGGTACTGTTCCCCTCTTAAGTTCTATTTTCTGGAAATCCTTTTGTGTTTCTTTAATTACATTGATAAATGTAAGTATATTTCCATATGTGCCACTGTAGTATGTGTTTGTTTTCATCTCTTTTGGAACATTTTAGGGGATGGCTTTCTTGTGCAACTGGAAAGGGGACCTGGTGCTGGAAAATGGGGCTCATCCTTGGTGAGCTTAGTTTTTGTGGTAATTGGGATGAACACATGGATCTTATACATTATTGGGAATGATTGTGAGTCCATAATTGTAGCACGGGGCTGGGATTGCTATGTTTTGGAACCATGGCCGTTGAAGTGAAACTGCTAACCTGCCAGTTTTGGTGGAATTGGATAGATATAGTATGGTGGTTGAATTTGTATATATGAAGTAGTTCAATGATCAAGAGTTCATCTCAGTTATAGAGAAGGCATCCTCTCCCTTTTGCGGATGGTCTTTCATTAGCAGGACTTCAGTAATCTCTTGAAGTGCAATGAAGTAGAACTGCCATGGTTCATTTGTGCCCTTTATGCTTTGGCTACTTTTTGTAGATCTTGAAAGTAGGCAAAACTGGAATTTCCACTTTTATGTGAAGGACTTATGTGCTCTTTTGCCACATTTCTTGGAAAGTATGTATTTTTCATTAAGTCATTCCCACTTCTGCTAGGGGTAAGTGCAGAATGTGTATTAACAATGTCTTTCTAGTATTATCCGAGCTTGTACTCGTAAGTGAAGACAATTACATGGCTAATGGGTCATTTGGATCCTAGGGTATGCAAAATTATCTTTTGCATAGCCATGGTAATTCGTACAAGAACATTTTTGGCAATTTTTTCGGACCCATAATCAAAATGCTTTAAGTAAGCAAAAAAGAGGGCAAAACACGGGTACTCAAAAGTAAAAAAAAAGGTTGGCTTGTCCAAAATGTGACTTTGTATGAGCAGCATCATCATCATTATTTGAGCTTTTTTCCAATTAATTGGGGTCGGCTACATGAATCTTGGTTCTCCATTCTTCTTTATCATATCCTCAGTGAGGCCACAATTCCCTATATCTTTTCAGACTACTTCTAACCACGTTCTTTTGGGTCTATCCCTTGCCCTTTTCAGTCATTCCACTTGAACAAACTCGTACTTCTTAACAGGTGCTGTACTTGGTCGGCGCCACTCATGGCCAGCCCACCTAAGTTTGCTCTCTCTCTCATTTTATCGCCTATTGGTGCCACACCTAAATTCTCTCGAATAGATTCATTTTGAATTCTATCCCTTCTTGTCTTGCCACTCATCCATCTCAACATCCTCATCTCCGCTACACTCATTCTATGGGTATATTATTTTTTGTCTGCCCAACATTTCGTCCCATAGAGCACAGCTGGTTTCACCGCTGTCCTATAGAACTTGCTCTTCCGCCTCATTGGTATACGCCGATCATATAAAATTCCAGTTGCACATCTCCACTTTCCCACTCAGCTCTAATTCTATGTGCGACATCTTCCTCGTTCTCTCAAATTTTCTCGATTATCGACTCAATATAATATAATAAAACTGATGATACAATATAATAAAATTGATGATAATATAATACAAATTTAATTGTTTTTTACTTATGAATATATGCAATGTATATTTATTCTATATAACACATAATAACGATGATGAAAATACCTTCCATTTTATATATATATATATATATATATATATAAATACAACAAACAATCCAACAAATGATGAAAGTCACCATTTTAAATTACCAATAATAATTTATTGATAAATTAATGTGATATATAATAATCAAATAATCATATTAAGATTGAAATATTTTATAGTACTATATGAATAATAAATATTAATATTATTTTATTATAATAATATTAGTAATACAATTTATTATACTATAAGAATGATAAATATTAATATTATTTGATTATAATAATATTAGTAATACAATATTATTAATAGCAAAGTGCTAGTAATATCATTAACAATATAAATAATAGAATATATTAATAATGAGTATCATAGTAATATATTGTTAAATATTATAAACTATAATATTAATAATAATGATTTTAATAATAATAATAATTATTATTACTACTACTATTACTACTATTATTACTATTATCATGACCTTCATCATGTGATATAAGAATGTTATCACATTGTTATAACAATTTGTATAATAATAGTAATATTAATATTTATAATAAAATATCGTAATATTATATAAAAATAAATTTATGAAATATAATAATAAATATAATAGTAATATTAATAATAATATTGTTGTTGTTATTGTTATTATTAATATTATTATATTTTTAAATATAATAATAATACTTATAATCAGTGTTTGAAAGCTCGCCGAGTCGAGCCGGAATCGCCCGGTTCGACTTGGGAATCGTCGGCTACTGAGCCGGTTCCACGAAAAAATCGGGATTCGCCCGTGTCTAGAGAGAACCGGGCGATTCTTGGCGATTCCCAATAGTAAAATTGCGAGTCTTACCGAAAATTTTTGGGGTCACACGTGACCGCCTCACTAGAGTGACACGTGGCACCTATAAACCCTCCACGCGTGGCAATTCACCTCGCTCGTATGCCCCCCTCGCTTTTCTACGCATGACTGAATGACTAGTACACAGCACATTATAGAGAACAAAGGGTCTCTCATCCTTCGATGTGGGATAATTCCCACAAAAAGCCATTCAAGCAAGATGATTCAATATGTATTATATTGTAGTTGCTAATGAAACACATCAAGCGATGTGGTGGTGTTGGTTGACAACCTTGAATTTTCGGGCGGGCATTTTGAGTTCGAACCCCGAGTGTCGTCGTTTATAATACAACATTTTTTTTAAGATAAAGATAAAAAATAGAGATAAAGATAAAAAAATAAAAAGC